CGCCGCTCCGGCGGCATCGCCGGCTCCGCCGGTCCCGGCTTCCCAAGGCTGCAGCGGCCCGTATCGCCGAGCCGCTTCTGAGCGGCCTGGTGCCTTGGCGAATCAACTTACCGGCGCGTCAGCCTTGGAGACGAGCGTGTGTCTGAGGTCCGGTGTTCTGACTTCCAGTGGTACTTTTTTGGCGGTCGCCGACCTCCCTTCTTTGTAAACAGAAGAAAGACGTGCCTGTCCCGCCAGCCTTAACTCACCGAGTATCACTGAGATCCCCCCCGTGTTTCTCTAAAGCGAATCAGTCTCCAGGAGGCATTGCATCACGTATCTTTAATCAGTTGTGTTGTGCTTAACAAGATAGGTAGGGATGATAAATAGTAAATGAAAGTTGAAGGGGGAGAATGAAACAGGCTATTAATGTAACAGGAACCAAAGGACCCATAAACATACTGTGAAGAGTGAAGTATACAGGGAACAAGCCTAGGCTCTTAAAAAATGTGAGTTAGACACTATGTTGTGGCATATCTAAACTCAGATTATACCACACCTAGTCTTATGCATGCACTATAGTCTTTTCTACTCTCGTTCTTCCCCTTCTTCCTTTGCTTATTCAGTTTTCGAATGGAGGAGCAAAGTTAATCAGGAATTCTTCATCCCTTGATTGACCTGATTGCAGAGACACGAATTGTATCCCACCTTGAAGTTGTGGCCTTTCTTTTTGAGCAGCTTTTTCAGCCTGGTGTGCTGTTCCTGTTAGGTGCCTGCCAGCAGGCTGCAGGGCGCATGCATCCTGGGTTGCCATGGAGAGCTGCGCAACCATCTCAGAATTTAGAAGAACATGTTGAGTCTTGCATCTCAAAAAGCTCAGTTAAAATATTCCAGTTCCTCCTTAAATTTTGTCTGAAAAGTTGATACCTTTTGTTTAAGTCATAATTTTATTAGAGCTGAAAATGTTAGAAAAAAGTAATCCTCATGGTGTAGTCCTCCTAAATCCTATGCTTATGTATTTTTATTGCATGTTTAAACTAATTTGCAGGCCTGTGCCAGCGTTCCTTCTTACTAGCTCCATTAATGGTTACCTAGATTTCTGAACAGGGGTCAAGCATCCCTCTTGGGCAGGAAGGACTTTATACTTTCAGTTACTTCTATATTATGTTGAGACAAAACTTAGCTGAAACTTAAGACAGCTTTATTGGACTAGAAGAAACCTATGCAGGTCCTGTCTGTTGCTTTATTTAAAATGCTATTATTTAAACTGTCTTTTAACTCTTTCAAGCAGCTTAAAACTACTTAGGATTGTATATTCCTGCTACTCGCTGGAGAACTACTTTAGAACTTGCTGATTAGGTTAAAGTAATTTTTGAATAGTTAGGCGTTTTACTGTTTTGTTCTTGTGCTCTCATTGTCACTTGGCTTAAATTGTTTATTTATTTTTTCATTTTTTCTAAAGTATTAGGGACATCACTTCTTTCTCCTCTTAGACTTTCTTTTGGTAGTCAGCAAGACAGTCTCTTCTAGTATTAATGTTGACTAAAACCATTGCAAAAAAGATAGAAAACCTCTTTCTTTTGGCGTGTTGCAGAGAAGAACAACACGATTTTGAAAATGAGTCTTACACCTTGTCAGGGTGAGAATTTATTCTTACTTCACTAGAACTGTTTCTAATGGCAATTCTCACCCTTTTCTTGTCAACAGATGACAGCAAACCAATTTTCTAAACCAGTATTCTTCAGGTCCTCATGCACAGTATGATTTGGAGAGCAGTTTGGCTCACTGTTAGTTAGGAAGGAAAAGTTTTACTAAGAAATGGGTGTTTTTTCTAAAAATAAATGCTGTCTGTAGTTTTAAATATTGAACATGTGGAGAGATTTTCTTGTTTTACACAGTTACTTGGATTCTTCTGTTTTGCTTAAAACAAGATCATTTTGAGTTTCTCCTAGTTTTCCACTTTTAAAAATTTAATAACAAATGTACTTTTTCTGTCACTCAGTTTTTTTGTAGCAGTTACATGGTCGGTTTCACTTTACACAACTTAGTCATTCCTGCCCGGATCTGGTAACTGTGGTCTTGGTTTTAGTAGTCTTTAAGGTTAGCATCCTGATGAAATTGTTTATGTTTAAGAAGTAAGTATTGATCTTACGACTTTCTGAAAGATTGACCTGTTGTTGCCATGCTATTCCTGTGAATGAAGGAATAGGGGGATACTAGGTAAAGAACAAAACCCCCTAACTTTTCTTAGGCATTTAATAGCAGGTCAGCTATACAAATGTTCATATCAGAAAAGTAAAGTACAGTTTTGTGGAAGACTACAACATTAGAAGTTAAGAATACAGGAAAAGTAGAAGTGGAAAAACTGGTGAGAGGTGGCCTGAAACGTACGTATTACTGACAGATGCTTAATGTCAGGCTGCCTCTTGGGACTCAAATTTGGCAGTGTTTGAAGAATATGATTCTTGTTCGTAAAATAAAACCTTTGTGTGTTATAAGCCTTTTACTAATATGAAGGAAAAACTTCCATGCAGCTGAGTTACAGGGAAGATAAACCATATATAATCTAACAAGAAGCTTCTTTATTTCTTCACTATTTCTGTTTACTGTATTTTTTCCTACCATTATCATGCTGGTGTACTGCTGGGAATTGTGTTCCTTGCACACAACACGTTGGAGCCTGTACTCTACCTAGTGATCATTGGTTTGTTAGAGGAGAGGATATGCTATTGTGACCAGTAGTATCTGTGTGATAATGTGTGTATATAGGAGATAAATCTGTGGGCAATAGGGGCAAAATGGAGCCCAGTTCAGTATTTATCTCACAGGCTGAAAAAAAAAAAAGCATTGACTAGCTTCTGAATAGATTTGCATCTGCATCCCAAATGTCAGAATAAATATGCAAAGCAGTTTATAACTTGGCACAAAACAAATAGGTTGTTTTCTTAAATTTATGTAAGTGATGTGCCATAAATAAACTGTACCTGTGTCTGAAAGAAGCAAACAGTAAGAAAAAACAAAACGTGTTCTTCTCACTACAGTATGTGTTCATTCTGCACTTTTACATTTCTTGCAAATTAATACTTGCTGTTAATAACAAGAATTGAGGGGCACAGGTGACGCACTAAGCAGTGCTGCTGGTAGTAAGCGATCATTGATTGTTTTGGTGTGTAAATACATTCTCTATGAGAGCTACTGCTGCTCCTTGCAGGATAAAAACTTGTTGGAGTTATAGTGAGTTCTTTATGCTGAATGGCTGCTTAATCTCTGAATAAGCATCATAGTGTGAAATAGAAAATTTGATTTAGCAGCTATATTGCTTCACTTCAATTGCTATAGTGTTTTACTGCCTGTGATTCTAAGGATTTAAACCTTTTTTTAAATTTATGAAATATTAAGATTAATTTTCCCCTATCTTTATAAGATGCTTTTGCGATCTGTCAGTCATCTTTCTTTTACGTACCAGGACCTCTTTTTAAAAGATGTTATAGGCCAAGAAGGAGCTGAGCTAAAGGAAACATTTTATTGGAGAGATTTGTGATCAACTCGCTCTATCAACTGAAGTACAAATAGTCAACTTTTTGTCCTGAGCTTTTCCCATCTGGTGTTCTTTTACATTGTATAACAGGCTCCATTTCCAAAACCAAAGGTATTTGAGTAACTGTCTTGTTGGCTGGGAGAGGCCCAAGATCTAGTATATGTTAATCTGAATTATGAGATTGTCCCTAATAAACAGAAGGAGCAATGTTCAAATTTGAATTCAGAACTTGGTAACAAACCTCTTAGTGATTTTGTGGTAATGTGATTACCACAAAAGAATAAAAGGATCACTGATTATTACTTTGTTGTGAACTGTCATTGAAATCTGTTGTGCCATTTAAGCACTTTAAAATTACAATTCTCATCTCCATTTGTGGGATGACAATATGTAAAAACTTAGAACTCATTCTCATAAAAAATAGAAGTAATCATAATACCTTGATGTATCAAATATGTGAAAAATTATCAGCTATTATAATTTTGCCCTTTTTTTAGGGCAAAGAGAGGATGTTATTCTACTGTTGTCTTGTATCTGAAATCTTAATCTTATTGCATTTAGAACTAGTTTTCAGTTGCCTGATTAGTTTTATTATGGAGATATTGGTTACATTCGGCAGGCACTTCATGTTCTTTTCCTTTCTTATTTTGTCATAGTGTGGGATTGCCTTACTTCAGGATTTAAATAGATGGCTTACATAAACTATCTGCAGGAATATCCTTATAATAAAAATGCTTGTGGTTACTTGTGTTAGCTACACCCAGTTCTTTAACTTACACACTAGACAGTAATTACATACATTAAGTAGCAAGCTGATTTCCAGATAATACTGATTCTCTTAGAAAAAGGATGTTCTACTCTGAAAAGATTCTCTGATAGATACTGAGAGGTCCACCTAATACACTCAGATATCAGTCTAAACAGTGCATTTGTTGATTGTGTCACTCTACTTAGTGGAAATGGGTGTGCTAGCTCTTTGGCTTTGACTACAATAATTTTAAGACTGTAAGTCACTATATGGCCTGCATCATTGCCAGATGCCTTAAATATTTCTATTTACAAACCTATGCTATACCTTAACTATGCCTAATATGGCAACTTTGCATTTACTGAAGTTAATAGAGTTGCCCTGGGGCCATGACAGTACTTTGAATATACTAGCAACCAGGATATATGTTTTTTTATCACTTGCATATTGTATCATTCTCCTAAGCTTCTGGCATTTCTTTCTGCTCTTAATTACTCTATTTTAAGGGATGTATTCACATTTCAGTCTGATTACTGGGTGAAAATAGGGTGTTTAGTGTGAATAAAGACACCAGATTCTGGGCAGAAATTTGGATGTTTCTTCACTGAAAGTTTTAAATCTTTCTTTAGTTTTAAATTTTTCTTTAGTTTGAGTTTGTTATGATACACCTTTTTCTTGT